TCTGAAACCTGAATTTGAAAAAATCTATCATCTGTATATTTATTTGCCTATCATCATCCATCCATCCATCGACCCATCCACCCACCTCATCTTTTCCTTCCCTCCCTTCTTTTTTTCTTCCCTTCCCTCCTACCTACCTACCCATCTAGAGAGTTCTCTGGAGTTCTGAGTTCTCTATCATAAGATGGTAGCCACAGACTCATAGAGGCTAAAGCTCAGCTTCTAGGTTAAGACTCTAGGTTAAGACTGCTCAGTCTCTAGGTTAAGACTGCTCTCGACCCTCCAGTGTTCTCAGAGTTTTGTTGATAAATGGAATCATTTCTGAAGTCATCAGTAGTAAACTGGATCTTTGCCGTGGCTTAACAGCACAGGCCTATTGAGTACTCACTGCATTATCTGAATAATACTGTGCTGTGGCGATCGTTCATCAATGCCACTTTCCCTACCCTCTTCCTTGTTCTTTGGTAACTGGGTGTCTGATGCAGAGTGTCAGTCGCCTCTTGTATCTGATGTGCAGGGACAAGCTGCATGCCGGTGCCTGAATCATGCCGCACAGGATGGAGAACGTTCAGACGTTCTCCTTTTCCCCCACCGCGCTGCAGATGTTGGTGGGTTGGGTTGGAGGGAAACCCAAACAAAGCAACAAATCCAGCTGGGAAAGAAGCACAGAACAAATTGGTGAGGGCTTGGAAGCTATTCATCAAAGCCTTCGAGCCAAAAGGAGAAGATGAGAAGTCAGTGTGTAAATGTGAATCAGAGAAACAGGGCACATCGGACTCAAGGCTTGATTCTGGGGTGTTGCAAAAGAGCAAGGGAACTGGCATTCCAGCAAACTGATTTTCCTTCGTGAACCCAGAAGCATTTGCTGCAAGAAATGTGGGCAAGAAGCCAGGAATATTTGTTTCTGGTCATAGATCCGACCCAGGCTGTTAACTGATGGCCTTTTCATTTGAAAAGTCTTAGTTAATAATTGGGCTCAACTGTTTAGAAAGAATGATTAAAAGGAACTTTTGTCTGTAAAGAGTCTTAAGAATGGAAACTTGGGTGACTTTCTTTGAAAACTCAGTGTCAACATAAGAAAAGAGAAACTTGTAAGAAGTATAGACCAGATGTTGGCTGTGTTGTTTTTTTTTTTTTTAAATATATTTTTTTATTCTTTGTGAACACAGCTGTTTGATTTGGACAAACTCTGAAGAGGAGGAGGATAATCAGAATGACTTCAAGCTCTCCTCTCCTTTGCTCCCTCTTTTCCTTCCTTTTCAGTTTTTTGTTTCTTGCAGGTACTTTCTTGGCTGTGATCCATGTGGGAGGCAGCAGGCTAATTTCCTGGGGATGGTAATATGATACAAAAGCAAACAAGGCATATATTTTTATCTTCAAAGAGTTCTAGTGAACTTGGAGGTTGTCCCTACCAGAGTTCAAATCATCATCTTCGAAAGGGTGGTGAGCTCAAGTGTAAGGCTGGGGAAAGTCAATAATATCTGAAAGGTCCAATATGAGGAAGAAGGGCCAGAAAGCATGATCTGGATTAGATGGGTCCCAGAATCCTAAATGATGAATCCTACCTGGGTTGCTGTGAGGACACAGACACAGGGCCATCCCTGAATAAGTATAAATGGTATTTATAAGAAACAGAGAAGGAGGGGAGAACCAACCTGAGTGCCTGGAGATTCAGAGACTGAGATAGAAAACTTTGGGTACCAGAGATGGTCTCTGTTACAACTACTTCACTTCACTGCTATACCGAGAAACTACCCACAGATAATGCATAAATAAATGGGTGTGCCTGTGTTCCAATAAAACATTTTTTACAAAAACTGACAGTAGGTTATAGTTAGCTAACCCCTGCCATAAAGCTCAGTAGGTCACCTAGCCACATTTAGAATGCATTCGGCTGCAGCTCATGGGCTGCATGACACTCTTCACTCCAGACACAACAGCCTTACTTGCTGGTCGGGAGACTCTTCCCAGTCACCTGCCAGATGGGTTTCCATTGGTAGCACTCTGGCGCATAGCTGAAGCTGCAGCAAGGAGGGTGGAGGCAAGTAGGAACTGATAGATAAACCTGGAAAGAACAAGAATGATGGGATCTCCAGAACCAGGCTAAGGAGTTTGGGCCTGGTGCGCACTGTATCAGAAAATACCATGAAATCAACCTCATGAGATCAATTTTTCTTTTAATTTAAAGTTTGGAGGAAAATTCCAGAAGAGGGATAGAATGTTGCATTTTCTTCCCTCCCCCTGCCCCAATCAGTCATATAAACATTTATTGTCCATATTCATTTGACTTAAAGAAGAACAGTCCAGGCCTTCAGGACTGCCAGGTTTTTCCTTAACTAATACACAGGGTAGGTTTTTCTCCCCTACTTCATTAGGGAAACTGGGCCCAGGAAAGACACGGAAAGATGAAAAGACTGAACTGCTTGATTCTTGGTGTCCTTTCTGTGTAAGACTTTATAACCTTTGGAAAATACAGAGGTGTTGGGAGGAAAGTCACCCACACCATTTAACTATTGTGAAATGATGATCTAGAAATAAATATTAAGGGTCTGGGATTATTCAGCCCAATGAAGAAAAGACTGGCAGTGACGGGGTAAACATAAATCTTTAATGGGGTAAAGTGCAACGGGAGGTGACAAACCCCTCCCCGGGTCTGGAAGGCCCCGCCTAGTGCCTCCTTCTCGAATGCTTACTCCTGCCATCTTCTTCCTGTTCTCTGTGCTGCAACCATCTTCTTTCTGGAAACCATCATCAGCTGTTCTGCTGGTGATTTCTTCCCCTCTGTTCTAGTTAAAATGTCACCTCCTCCACGAGGTGGTCTCAACTCACGCAATCTAAGGATTTTATTTGTGTGAGAGAGAGAGAGAGAGAGAGAGAGATCACAAGTCGGGGGGGAGGGGTAGAGGAAGAAGTAGACTCCCTGCTGAGCAGGGAGTCCAATGCGGGACTTGATCCCAGGGCCCTGGGATCATGACCTGAGCCAAAGGCAGATGCTTAACCAACTGGAGCTACCCAGGTGCCCATCAGCTCACACAATCTAAACAGCTTCCCACACCCCCCACCTCAGGGTCAATCCCACTGCCCCCTTCAATATATCCATGGCATTTATCACTGTTAGAAATGACCTTCTTCATTTGTTTGCTCTCTTCCTTCTCTCGATAGAAGGCGGATTCCATAGGGACATTGACCTTTGTCTGTTCCATTATCGCTAACTCAATGCCCAGAATGGTACCTGCTCATAGTAGATGCTCATTAAATGTTTTTCAGAAGCCTGAGGGACCTAAATGGGAAGGGGGATAGAAGAATAGGTGCAGTGATTACAATTCTGTTGATGATGGTGGTGGCAAGACACAGAATTCTTTCATATCGCACTTTACTAATTTTATATAAATTAGTTATTTACAGTGGGGGCTGATAAATCCTGAGATGGATGCTGAGAAAAGTTGTATACCTTCTTTCTTTTCATTAAAAAAATAAAACCCAGGGGTGCCTGGGTGGCTCAGTTGGTTAAGCATCTGCCTTCGGCTCAGGTCATGATCCCAGGGTCCTGGGATTGAGCCCCGCATTGGGCTCCCTGCTCAGCGGGGAGCCTGCTTCTCCCTCTTTCTCTGCCTGCTGCTCTGCCTACTTGTGCTCTCTCTCTGTCTCTCTGTCTCTGTCAAATAAATAAATAAAATCTTAAAAAAAAAAAATACAACCCGACATCTTAAATTCTCCTTTGCGTAGGTTAGCACTATAATTTGGAGGCAAGGAAACCATGTCCCAAGATTCTGAAAAATCACACGTGTAGTAGCTTGTCTCATTGCTTTTCAGGGTGACTGTCTTGACTGTGTATATATACACACACACACACATATATATATATATGTATATATACATATATATATACATTTGGATATTCCATTGTAGGATGATGACTTGGAAACGGATGTGAACAAGCTAAGTTCCAAACCTGGTCTTGACCGACCCGAAGAGGAACTGATGCAGTATGAGGCGATGTGTCTTGAGCTCTCCTGCAGCTTTGAGGTAGGACATATGCCCTGGTTCTGCTCCATGGTGATGCATGATAGGTTCTTTGCAGAGCCTGAGAGGCCAAGCAGGAGCTCTCCAGATGGAGAGCACTGCTCATCATTAGCAATCTGCTTCTGGGGTCTTTCTGAGAGAGAAGCAGAAGGCTAAGCAAAATGTGAAAAAGGTGGCTGGTCTGGATGTATGCAAGGCGCCTCCAGTAGGGACACCTGGCACGGAGATGGAAATAGGACTGTACACATTGCCGCCTATTGTCTGGGGGACAAAGTGACTTGTCCTCACGTCCTGAAAATGCACTGAAAATTCTTGATGATTTATTGAGTGGGCAAGTTGTACTAGATGGCTTTCTGAAGGTGGTCAGTCTGATTTCAGGGTTTTTTGTTAGTAGAAACAAATTGAGAACCTTGCACCTGGCGATGTAGTGGCTAGTTGCTGCTCCCATTACTATTGCTGTTGTCTTTTAGACCTGACTTTGGATCTCTATTATTTTCTTATGACTCTTAATATATCATGAATTTGCCCACCTCTAAAGGTACCAGCTAAATCCCATGGAGAAGGGAGGCAGTATATTCTATTTTACTCCAGAAGGCCAAAGGGGATCCATAGGTAAAAGTTTCAGGGAAGGAAATTTCAGTTCAGTGTAAGGAAGACTTTTTTTTTTTTTAAACGAACAGAATGATCCTCAAATGAAAGGCGCTGCCTTGGGGTGTAATGAAAACCCTGTAAATAAGTTTGTTCAACGAGGCTGTAACTTTTTGGGGTGTTCCAGAGGGCATTTGTGTGCTATATAGAATTGTACTAGACCCACCCAATGCCCCTTCCAAACATGAATTTCTATGATTCTACCATTCATTTGATTCTTGAAGCTTAGCCTTTTCTTGTCTGACCTTGGAAAAAGCTTCCTAATTCACAGAATTTATGCTTAACTCTGTGCCCAGAGAGTGAGGATAGGGGTCAAGTTGTATTTTCTACCAGGGAGGAAACACTGACATATTCTTTTCCATTTTAAACCTGAAGGAACTCGAGTCTAAACCTGCAGATGATTTGAACTTTGAAGAGACTCAGCATGCCAAGCACTACCACATTCCGACTGCAGCCTCCCCAAAGCAGCATTGTTTGACTGAGGACCAACGCTCCTGGGGGCAAGAAAGAGAAGACATGGTCCAGACTTCCCTCCTGAGTATGGTGAAGATGGGGAGGTCCGCCATGCATCCAGCCTCCAAAAAAGGCCCTGGGAACACTGCATACCAAAACATGCAATCAAATGGTCTTGGGATAAATTCTTCTGGAAAAGAAATCCCTGACATTCAAGCTTCCCTCAAACAGGATGCTTGGGATATAGACGTGATTTCCTGCCCAATGATGAGTGCCTCCTTCTCCAATTCCACTAGGCCTACAGAAACTGCTGAAGTAATAGATAAGCTTCTGCAGACACATCCCAAGCATATCCCCTTCCATGACCCCTCTCTTTATATGGCCAAAGCCAGAAGAACCAGATCTGTAGCTGACTTCAAGAGGATGGCATTTCCTGACCTCTGGGGTCACCGTCCACCTCCCTTTGCTCAGTCAATGCTGGAGCGCAAGTGTGGACTCCAAAGGTGATGGTGCTGCTGATTTGGAAGCTATATTTTTTGTCTTTAATATTTTAATAGGCAGAATGGTTTGTATAGAGAGTTCTGCCATCTTAGGAAAAGTGAGAATCAAGCAGTAGCATGTTCAGATCCTTTGGGAAGCTTTTGCCAAACACAGAAGCTTGCCTCCCTCCCTGGACATGTCAGAACCAAGTGTGGGATAGCGACAGGCATGTGTTGCTAGAAAAAGAATCCCTTCGATGGTTCTAATGCAACCCCGTATCCCAGAATGCATTGCAGATCATAACAGGGAAAGATAACCCAGTTTCTCCAAATAATTGGGATCATTCCTTAAAGGAAGTTTCTCAGAAAAAAAAAAAAAACCCACCAAAAAAACAGTGTGGATTATTTGGGATCTTTCTTTTTTAATTCACTGTAAATTGGCATCTGATCTCTTGTTGACGAAAGGAGGTGGTGTACCCCCATCTCACAGTCCCAACCTTATAAAACCTGGCTTGGCTGGGAGAATAGTTCTGCTCTATCACTGAAGATTGTAAGGAAAATATGCATTCTCTAGGATAGAAACTTTGGGTGGTGGGTTATTCCCAGAATGATGGAAAGGGAGCTTTGCCTTTGGATCAACATAGTGAGATTAAAATGTAAATGGCTAAAGCCAAGGAAAAATGATTTTCCTTGGAAAACAAACAAACATTGAGTATGCATATGCTAAGTCAATGGAGCAAAGTGTGCATACCAGAAAGTTTCATGAACTTATTTTCCATTTCATCAGCAAAGTAATGGTGGATCCCATGAGCTGCTCAGACTTGGGCTCCTGCTGACATCTCTGACCCTATCCTTTGCAGGTTATCTGCTATGCTCAAGTTCCTGAGAGACACAGCACAGGGGCTGGCCCAGCAACACCTCCCCCTTTGACAGAACATGCTCCCCTTGAGTCTAGGCCTCTTGTCTACCTCCCCTCTCTTTCTCCCACTCCACCAAAAAACATGGATCAGAAATTCAAGGAGGGAATCTGAAAGATCCGTTGGGCTTCCTTCTGTCCTCTTACTTAAACTTCCTGAATATGAGTGTTTCTCAGAAGATTGACCTTAGTTTTCTGGAGATGACAGAACCCAAGGAATAGAAATGACCCAAGAGTTCAGAGGCTTACTGAAGCCTTGAAGCCCTTGAGGATGCTAAGAGTCAACAATCCTAAAGTCTCCCTCAAATATTGTCTCTGTGCAAAGGACCCTCTTACTCTCACAACCAAAAACCTTTGGAGTCCATTAGTCTAAATGCTCTTGAAAAAAATTCCCCTTCAAGTCAAGAATCTTCCAACTAAAATCTGGCATCAGTGCATCCTACATTCCTATTGCTCAGTGTAGTTTCATTTTTTGATAAAGAACAAAAGGAAGGAGAGACAGCACTTTTTCCACTCTTGTAGCCCCAGGTTGGGGGGCATTATTAATTTTTTCTTTCATAATTCTCTGATGACTCTCAAGGCCCTTCCCAGATGACCATAGGATGGATGGGGTCAGGAGTGAGAGCCAACCCTTAAAATGTTTCCAATTTTCCTTTCTAGGATCAAGATATTTGAGGATGTCCGGAGGCTCATCCAGCCAAGTGATGTTATAAATAAAGTCGTCTTCAGTTTAGATGAGCCTTGGTAGGTGGTCTTGAGCATCAGTGGAACATGGAAGATGGGGGTGGAGTATGGAATATCCTCTTAATGACATGAGAATAATCATGCTTTATGTTAGTAATCCACCCCTTCTCCCTGAAACACGATCAGAATTCATATTCAAGACTCTGTAAGAAAAAGCTTATCTCTAAGAAATGTCAGGCTATGCCCAAGAATAGCAGGAATGCATGTGTTCACATGTTTCCTATTTCATTACAGGCTGTTGCAAGACACCGCTTCTGACTGCTTGCGGTTCTCCTCCAAGTTTGAGTCAGGAAATCTTCGCAAAGCCATCCAAGTGCGTGAGTAAGTAAGGAAACCCACGAAGGTAGCAGGTTGTGCCTCTCTCCTCCCTATTCTCCGTACCGTGGTCTCACATCAGTCATTTGAAATCAGCCACGGCGGGAGAGTTTATACCCCGAGAACGGGCAAACAAGACACATGAAGGTTTTCCTCTCAGTCCGTTGCTAAACATTTACGGGCACACCACTAGGGGGCTCATTAGCTGATGTCACAGCAAGGTGGCAAGTAGAGGTGAAAGTTATGAATACACTTGTATTCCAAATAATGGCTCCATCCTTGGATGCGGGAGTCCTTGGACTGGGATGTTTGTACTCCTGTTGATGCCAGGGCTGGTTCCGTTGACACAGCAGGGTACATGGGGTCCCCTGGTCCTGTACCTCTTCACGTCTGTTGCTCCCATCGCTGTGAATGTAGGTGGCAGGAACATTGGGCTCCCCGTGGAGAGGTGCGTTACTCTTGATTCAAGGGCATGCGTAGTGCCATGCCTCTCTGGCAGAATCTCTCAATGAGCTCTTATTACTAGACAAGTATTTCACAGGCAAGGAAAGTCTAGGTCTGTACAAACTAAAAAGGGGGAGAGGACACAAAACAAAAATTTTCGGCGCAGAAGAGACGGCTATGGTATCATTCTTCCCTCAGTACCAGTGTGGACTCTATTTGTCATATGCCAAAAATCAGGATTTGTCACCCATCTTCTATGGGTGAACTCCCGAAGACAGCAGTCCAGAACAGTTAATGGTGTGGGGGTCACAGACTCTGGAATCAGAATGCTGGAGCCACCTCACCCCTTCCCCACCAGGAGATTTCGAGCAATTACCTGACTCTACTCCATGCCTTTTTTTCCTCACCCAGAAAATGGGGACAGTGACGGCACCCACATCATAGGCATTTTTTTTAACGCGAGTTAGCTAAAAACACATCACGCTCTTAGAATAGTGCCCAGCACACTCAGCATGAGCCTGTCTTCAGGGATGCATATTCACCCTTGCCAGGGCACAGAACTTCAGCTAGGTCAGCCTGTTTTGTATCTATCTGAGGAGTCATTTTTGAAATTTTTCTTTTTTGGGTGTGGGCAGGTGAGCAGTGATCCTTTTCCGTTTGTTTGTTTTGTACATGAACTATTTCAAGGAAGCCCGACATAAAAAACAAATCCAAGTTGAGCTACATGGGCTGAAGAAGAGAAAGGCAGTTCTGTTAACATTCTTTCTAGGCTTCTTCTCTTTCTGTTGCCAGCTCAGCTTCTATGTCTTGTGGTGGTGCCTGCTTTTATTACTCTGTTTATATATCATGTTTAAGGGATACGGGAGAGAAAACCTAAGCAGGAGTCTCCTGGGGGGGGACAGTGGTCAGTCCATGATGTGTCTGCCCTGCTGGCCTTGTTCTGGTCTCTCTCTCTCTCTTTCCAGATATCTGCCTTTGGCCAGTGTGTAGAATCCTAAACCAATTATGGTCAGGGTAATGGAGTCAGAGGACAGAAAGCAAACGTATATATAGGCAAGGAGTTTTGATGATCCATTTTTGGAGAGGATGGTGGGCGTAGGAGATCATTTGAGGGCTGTAGTCTTTCTGGATTTGTCCTTATGAGCGTCACTTGATGGACTATGCTTCATTCGCTGTATCTCAGCCTCAGTGGTTCAAGGGAGATGCTTAGAGTGACTGTGTGAGCAGTGGGTCTCCGTCAGGTAGCTCTACTCTGCTCTGATATGCCTTCTGCAAAGCCCCCCCTTCCAGAAATCTGACTGTACCACTTTGCAGGGGTCCAGAATGGCAGGGTGTGAACAGATCAGGGCAAATACATCACCCTTTCTAGAGGAGCAACTCAAAGAATATGCCGAGGGGATGGAGCAATCATATTTTTGAAAATATACCGATAATAATGTTGAAGTCAAAACTGCATTGTTAATTTTGTTGCTACAGCTCAAAAAATTGGTTAGCTTTGCAGATAGTAATAGAGAGGGGACACGCAAGAGTCTCCTGGGGCACTGGAAATGTCCTATCTGGGTAATTGCCGAACAGGAGTGTCCAGATGAATTTATTTAAATTCACTGAGTTGTACACTTAAAATTTGTACACTTTACTGCATGTAAGTTAGGGACAAAATGAACACACAACTCCTGCATTGCTAGCCTAATTCATGTTTGTTGCTTTGCTGGGGGCTTACCTGTATGATACCACTTAATCTTTACAGACAGCCCTGCAAATTTAGGCATTATTTCCATTTTCCATACAAGGAGACTGAGCCTCAAAAGTAGTGTGCAGCATCAACCAGATGTGATTGAATTTTCTGTGGGATATAGCACACTTGTATTTTTCCTGCCAGAGGGTTTAATTATTAATTTATTAAATCACAGTTTAATAAAAAGATAGGCTGTGGTTGTATAATTGATTCTCCTAATACCAAGAACCTGCTCCCCTCTCCCCACATTTCTATGTCCTGTGTGTCCAATTTTGTGAGATGAGCACAGTCACTGTAACTTACCAGCCCACTGAGATCCCAGGTCTTAGATCAGTCCTCTGGAACCTGAGATGTGTAGCTTCTCAGTGTTGGACGTTCCCTTAAAGACTTGTAGCCCTCCAATCTTGCGTCTGACTTTGCAGGCGGGAATACGATTTGCTGGTCAACACTGACGTGAATAGCAGCCAGCACCAGCAGTGGTTCTACTTCCAGGTGAGCGGCATGAGAGCTGCCGTCCCTTACCGCTTCAACATCATCAACTGTGAGAAGCCCAACAGCCAGTTTAATTACGGTATGAGCTCTTGGGCCAACACCCAAGATCTTCTAGACCTTCTACAAGTTCTAGAAGCTAGATCTTCTGGCTAACACTAGGAATGGTGCCCCTCTGTGATTGATTGGCTTATTACTGTAAGCCCTGTTTGGGTTCCCAAAGGGTTTGAAGTTGGGCTGAATGTTTTGGTTGCCATGTGTGGCAAGATGGTGGTCAACCTGTGGCAGACTACCATCATGGAAGGCAAGCTGGAAGTCCTCACTCTGGTGGAATGTTAATACCATGCCTGCCATTCCATTACTTCCTGACTGCCTTGCCCCACCTTGAACTTTTGGAGGTCCATGAGAACCTCTCATTTATTCCTTCTCTTCATCTCCTAAATCCCACAGCAGCAAATATATTGACCTATTTGTCCCAGAAAGGAAAACAGCACAATCCAATTGGATGACATTGATTTGCACTCTCAGAAAATATGGGGAAAGTTCAAGTTCTCCTGAATACCTGCGGCCATTTTGGAGGAGAAATTCAAGGGACAAAGTGATTGGCAGCCCACATTGACTTTGAATGTTTCCAGAAATGGAAAATTCTGCATGCTATTGCTGGATCATATACTAATTCATTGAGTGACTTTGAGTGAGGAATAAATATTCCCATATCTCTAGGTCTAAGCACAGGGTACTGCCTCTATTTTGTACCGACTAAATAGATTCTTGCTGGTGTAGAAAGAGAAAATATGAACCCTGACTCTTGTATTTGCTCCATGTGTCTGCTGTAACAAATTGTCACAAACTCAGTGGCTTAAAACAAGACAGATTTACTCTTTTACAATTCTAGTGGCTACAAGTCCAAAATCAGTTTCACTGGGCTACAGTGAAGGTGCTAGAAGGGCCATGCCCACTGGAGCATCTAAGGGATTTTCTGTTTGTTTGGTATTTTTTTCCCGCTGTTTATAGAGTTGTGTTCCTTGCATCCCTTGGCTCATGGCCCCTTCCTCCCTCTTCAAAGCTGGCCGTGTAGCATCTCCCAGTCTCCCTCTGCTTCAGTCACATAGCTTCTCCTGTGCAGTCAAACCTCCTTCTGCCTCCCTCCTAAAAGGACATAAGTGATTGCATTTAGGGCCCACCAGGATAATCTCTCCATCTCAAAATCCTTAATTTAATTACATCTATGAAATCCCTTTTGCCATATAAGGCACCATTCACAGCTTCCAGGGGTTAGGACCTGGATTTCTCAGAGGGCCATGATTCAGCCCATCACAGCTCTCTTTCCCTTTTCTCTTTCCCCAGAGATTAATACTTTTTTTTTTTTTTAAGATATGGGGTGTAGGGGCAGAGGGAGAGGGAAAGAGACAGTCTTAAGCAGGCTCAGTGCTGGCTCGGAGTCTGACGCACGATCTCACGGCCCTGAGATCATGACCTGAGCCGCAATTAAGGGTCCCGTTGCCACACTGACGGAGCCACCCAGGGTGCCCCTCCCCAGTGATTAATCCTGCCTCTGTTCTGTGCAGGGATGCAGCCAACTGTGTATTCTGTGAAGGAGGCTCTTCTTGGCAGACCCACCTGGATACGGATGGGCTATGAAATCTGTTATTACAAGTAAGTTAGAGTGTTGCTAGCTTCCTTTTCTCTGCTCTTTCATTCTTTCTCAATTTCCTGCTCTTCTGTGTTGATCTGAGAAACCTCAGCCATCCGTCCGTGTCCCAGGGGCGAATGCCCTGCCCTTTAGAAGCACAAGCATGTTAAATGGCACCCACAGTAGAACCCAAGAAATCTTTTGATTTTCAGAGAAAATCAACACATTAAAACCCTTAGACCTTGTTGTTGGATGTTAGAACTTATACAGACGCAACAAGTGCTTAGTTCACAAGCCTCCGTTCTTTACCTCTTTCCGTGTATCCCAGTGAACAAAAAATCTGAGATTTTCTGGCCTATTCTTACTCATCCTGTGCTCCAGTTTTCAAAAGTAGATGGGAGTGGATAGGTGACAGGTCCACTTAAGTAACTATTCCTCCACAGCAAGATGATTTTTTGGAAAAAAATAAAAGAGGGAGCATTTCTAGAGTTCATCTTCAACCCTTGATTGGTAGCCAGTTTCATCAATTTATTCTGTAAAGTTGTAAATGAAATCTAAATTATCCATATCTTTTGATAAAAGAAATGGATTCCCAACCCATGAATTGCTCATTTGTGCATTTTCTTTTGATGGAAAATAAAAAATATACATTCATAAGAAAGAAAAAGGACAGGAACTGTTAGGACACAGGACACAGGACATATGTAATTAATTATTAGCTCATTGCTAATTTCTTATAAAAACTGACAGGCTAGCACTTGTTTTATTGGATAAAGCAAGGTGTATCTCTCTCTGATATTACAAGAGGACCCTAAGAAAAATATTATCAGACATTCTAGAGTTTAGGATTGTTATTAATACCAAAAAGAAAGAGCATATATACTCTCTTGCCTTTTGGCTTTTGAGACAGGACAGGAACACTGATAGAGCAACCCAATTCCTGACCTTTCCTATCTATCAGACACAAAGGCAAAAATCACCATAGAGATAAGTACTGTCTACAAAACACGGAACTGGGCTGACTTACAGTTTGTAATAAAAGAGTTGGCAATCTTCAGTCCTTGATGTATTAGGATATGGATCTGGGCGGTATTTTCATCATATTCTTTAGAACAATAGCAAAATATTATGATTTTGTTGGTTTTCCATTCACCTATATGGCAATTTCTCTCTGGCCTCCATATCTAGAAACTCCCAGGATCTTTTCACATTCCAAAGAGATTTAGACTAAAAACCATCTCAAAGTGGAGGAAGCCAAGAACTACAAGGAAAAACAGCAAAAGCCTAAATTTTGAACCTTGGTGTGTCCTGTGAAAATAGTAACCCTAAATAAATATGAAAGGCCCAGCTTGCTGCCTGCTTGGATCTGGAGCTTAGTAAGAGATTGGACAAACACAACATTCAGTATTCTCTCCCAGGGGAGTAGAACTCTCCCTGGAGGCTGTTCCTCTGGGAGGGGGGTAGTAAGAAGCAGGCTTGTGGGGACTAAGCATCTGCCAAATAGAGAAGGTAGAAAGAAGCCCCACATCCAAAAACACAGCCTGGGCCTCAGGAAAGCCAAAGTTAATGTTAGTAGCTGTTAGATTCATTAACAAGACAATTGTTATGTGATTAAAGAGCAACAGAGGGGTAACATGAAAACCATGAATGTGTAATGTAATTCATTTTTCATATTGCAGTCATGAATACAACAGAGATGAATGGATAAGATTGCTACATTGTAATGTAGTTTGTTTTACAATTATTCACCACATTATGATAACATATTTCTAATAATGTGATTTAACAACAGGATACATGTGTGTATCTCTATTCAACCACAGCTCAGGACACCTCTCCCTACTATAGAATACCTTAGATTGTCAAACCTATTTCTCCCTTTATACCCATCACAGTCTTTGAGTTGATTTGCTCTAGAAGATGTGTTTGCTTCACCCCTGCCTTTATTCTCTCCAGTGTATTAATTTGAGAGAACTTTACCTCCTTATTTCTCTGTCTCCAGCACATCATCAGGAACTCAGAAGTTGTATTTCTATTGTGCTGTTAAGTTCCCAGATTCTAGACAACAACAACTAACAGTCTATATTGTGAGGTTTAGCTTAATTTAGGAAATATAGTCCTGAAGTAGGCTTCTGCAAACTTAACTACCTTGCCAGAAGTTAAAAGCAAAAGAATGAGGGAGGTGTGGAGCTCTTCCCATTCGGCAATCGATACTCAGCTTCCTGATACATGAAAGCCAGAGACGTATAATGCAATGCGTTGTTCATATTCCAGCTCTGGAAACCCAGCAGAGAAGAATGGATAAGATTGCTCTACTGTAGTTTGCTTTATAATTAGGTTATAATTTATAATCAGGTTGACTTGGACCGCAGAAGGACAGTGGTGTCAATCCCCATATTAAACCTTAAGACAACTGAATTTCTTCCTTAGTACCTAGATCATACCCATTTGAGGAAAAATCTGATATTTTATCCTGTGCGCCGTTGACCATCTTGCCCCTCTCCCGGAACCCCTTCTCCTCCTCCAGCCCATCCCCCTCTCCAACCCACTTTGCAGACCAGTAGTCCAGAAAGTAAAAGGGATCCTGGGGAGGGAAGGACATAAATGAGCAGGCTCCTTTTTCCATGCCTCTCATAAAAGTAAGCAAGGACACTTGCACTTCCTGCTTTATCGACTTCCCTGCTTTCTGCTTCTTCCTGCAATGTACACAGCCTCGCACCTTTCCGAATCCTTTCCTGGCTCTGGTCTAAAGTAATTTTGCTGCTGACGGGCAGAGGGAGGGAAGCCGCACGCTCAGAGTGGCCATGTAATACACAACGGCTGATCTCTTCTGACATTTATCTCGGCTCGTGAGAGGAGATGGAACAGCTCACTCATGAAGATGAATGTCATACACGAGCTCTGCCATCATGCATCCCTCTGAGGGATCTCAGGAGGGAGATTTGGCGTTGTATGGAATATTAGTAATGCTGCAGACCCGGGGAAGCCCAGTGGCTTGGCTGCTCTGCCTTATTAGACCCACATGAAATGATGCACCCTTGTTAAACAGAGCCGGGTCATTATAAGATTATCTACTTCACTCTCTAGCTTGGCATTTGCTTATTTCATACACGCACAGGGGAAAAGAAAATGACTTCCCAGCGTATTTTTTTTCTTTTTTTTTTTTTTTTAAAGATTTTATTTTTATTTATTTGAGAGAGAGAGAATGAGAGACAGAGAGCACGAGAGGGAAGAGGGAGAAGCAGACCCCCTGCTGAGCAGGGAGCCCAATGTGGGACTCGATCCCAGGACTCCAGGATCATGACCTGAGCCGAAGGCAGTCGCTTAACCAACTGAGCCACCCAGGCGCCCTTCCCAGCGTATTTTTAAGTGCAAATGGAAATAGATTGAGTTCATAACTATGCATTTGTGTACTTTGCTCCTTGCTTCATTGAAGGCTTTATGATTATAAAAGTGTAGATTGGTCCTAAGACAAATGGTTCAGGGAATGGAAAAGTGAAGGGGGGAGCCTTTTAACTGGATAAGCTGGCTCTACCCGACCTTGGGTCATCTTTGACCCAACATCACCTATTTAGGATCCAGCAAATTGGAGAATGCCCTTGATTTTCACCCAGGCTTCTTCTCCATCTCCAAGAGCAGATCAAGGAGAGAAAGTTCTTCGAATCAGACTTCCAGCACTCGTCATCAGTGGTGTGACTTTGGGCAGATTATTCCAGCCTCAACTTCTGATCCCTCATCTGTAAAATGGAGCCAATAATGGAATAATGAAATGAGGACAAGCAGGTAGAAAGTTGAGCGCTGTGTCTGGTGCATAGTAGATGTTCAGTGAATGTCAGCAATCATCCATAACTAGTAGAAACTTCTTTGTGGCACCAATGACATAAAGAATCAGTGAAATGTTTCATTTTTAGGAGCTCTCATCTGTTTTATGTTAGATTCCTTCTGTTACTTTAGACTTTAGGTTTGTAAGCAGCCCTGATTTATGAAGACCAAAACTTCACATTGTTACTGGCTAAATTGGGCCAAAACACTTCTTGTCATCTTATCCATTTCCAAGACAAAGGTGATATAATAAAAGAGATCTTGGTTTTGGAGTCAGCACACTCGTGGGGTTGATCCTACTTGCTGTGCTTTCTGTTGCATCATATCCGTGATCCTCGATTTCCCCATCTGTAGAGTGTGTACAGTAACACTTAACCTTAAAAATATACCAGTAGGATTAGAGGTGGAATATTTTAGGTGTTCTAATTACTACTCCTGGAGTCCATTTATCCTACAGACTTTAACCGAACAGCTGCTAAGTCCAACTTCTGTGCCAGATACACAAACCAATAAGCATAATCCCTGTCATAAAGGGTTAGCAATGAGGGAGAGACAGGGTGTGGTAAGAACTATGTAAAAGAGCAGGTATCAGAGAAGGCTTGCTGGAAGAGGAAACCCTTGGGTTGAGGCTTGAAGGCAGAAGGAGTTGTCTGAGTGAGGTAGAAGGAAAGGGTTTTCGGTACAAAGGAAGAACATGGGAGTCACTTAAAATATAAAGGATGAATGTTACTGCCTTGCAAACATCCCTCAGCATGTTCACATCATAATTGGTGAAATAAAAATAACTTGTTGTTAGAATATAACTAAGTCAATCAGAGAAAGAAATGTATCATATGCTCTCACTGATATGAGGAATTTTTAATCTCAGGAAACAAACTGAGGGTTGCTGGAGTGGTGGGGGGGGGGAGGGATGGGGTGGCTGAGGGATAGACATTGGGGAGGGTATGTGCTATGGTGAGTGCTGTGAATTGTGTAAGACTGTTGAATCACAGACCTGTACCTCTGAAACAAATAATACATTATATGTTAAAAAAAAAAGACGGCAGGAAGGGAAAAATGAAGGGGGGGAAATCGGAGGGGGAGACGAACCATGAGAGACTATGGACTCTGAGAAACAAACTGAGAGTTCTAGAGGGGAGGGGGTGGGGCGATGGGTTAGCCTGGTGATGGGTATTAAGGAGGGCACGTATTGAATGGAGCACTGGGTGTTATACGCAAACAATGAATCATGGAACACTATATCAAAAACTAATGATGTCATGTATGGTGATTAACATAACATAATAAAAAAATTAAAAAAAAGAATATAACTTTACCGTGGACAAATCAAATTGTTGCAAGCAAAGGGTTTACTTTAGAGATTTATCGAACATTTCACTTTGAAGAAGGTGATCTTGGGAAAGCGTGGAGGTCCCTGAAGAGGAGCATTTTTTGCTATTGGTAGGGTCATCTGGATTTTCCTGCTCCCCATGCACGGCCCCCAGGAGACTCCAGTGGGGAAGCCTGACATTTGCTTTAGGCTCAGCTAGAGTTTCGACCCCAGACTAGGGTTGTCATGGAATCTCCTTTAGCAGAACCTCATCATCAATGAGTTGTTACCCATTTTTAAATCCCAGCAGTCCACAACCATCCTGGGGAGGGCTGGCTTACCAGCGAGGAGTATGTATGTATGTATGTATTTATTTAAAAGATTTTATTTATTTTTGTGACAGAGAAAGAGACAGAAAGAGTGAGCATGAGCAGGGGAGAGGGAGAAGCAGACTCCCCACTGAGTAGGGAGCCCGATACAGGACTCAATCCCAGGACCTTGGGATCATGACCTGAGCCGAAGGCAGATGCTTAAGCGACTCAGCCACCCAGGTGCCCCAGTGAGGAGCTTTTAGTCTTGCCCACAAGATTCTTGCCCACCAAGCTATAGTGTGTGTGTGTGTGTGTGTGTGTGTTGGGGCTACGAGAAGGTGGATTTCATACAACTGAAACAGCTGTTCAAATTCCTTACACTTCCCTTAAATCACTAGAACGTAGGTCCACAGAAGTTCCAAAACTAAGAATCCTTTTATTTTATTTCTCTTCCCATTTCACTGAAGCTGTTCCCTCCCTGGAGTCCAGGTTTGATATGAATGGTGGAAAGAGCCTAGGGATGGGGATTTCACATTCTTGGTTTCTCTTCCTTTCTTGCTCACTCTGATGGCTGGTGGGGTAAGGCTGAATGTGCTTACGGTCAATGTCCCTGTTATGTGATTTCAGTGTACTTAATGGTACAGCGGGAAGTGGACCAGGAAGCACGGCTCATGTCAAAGGAGACCACCCCCCTGGCTCTCAGGGAAATCTTTTATACCCGAGGAAGGATGCAGGCTCTGTGTCCCCTCCTTGTGGGTGAGGAGCTTGGGGATGGAGAGGCCCTAGGTGTTATGTTTCCATCTGCCTTTACCTTCATGAATATGAATCTATGGGGCGTGTGCCCAGGTGTGTGCCCATGTGTGTGCTTACAGGTGAAGTGCTCTTCCACATTTTGGTTGGCGGTCAACACCTTGACCATTTTGACTGTCTCATTTTGTGTTACATGGGTCATCAGTGTAGAGGGGTGTAATTGACCAGTTCCTGTTGTTCAGGGAGGTCTCAACTGGATGAGCATTTGCAGGGGAGCCTTTTGAGTGAAATTGGAAAGAAAATAAAAGGTAGAGCCTATGTGGCTTGCATGCTTTCTGAGCTACCAAATGCTTCTCGATACTTTCTAATAACCAGAGCCTTAGCTCTTAAAGAAGTACAGAACTTTGGGGGAAATATGGAGAAAGGAGATCCAATTAGGTATCAAGATCCAGATGGCACCCTGGGTGAAGATGCCTTTTTGAAGTTGCTAGTGCTGGAGTCACAGAGGAAATTGGGTCCTATTCATGTGATCTAAAAAGTGACAGGGAGAATCACTTGGGGCTGACAGTGTTAGGGGTATCCTTCTCTCCCTACGATGACCAGGGCCCTAGGGTGCTGTGTTGGCAGAAGCTGAGGCAAGAGAAATGTGTCAGGCCATAGTTTGTGGGTCTGCCATTCCTAGTTTTATTTATTTATTTATTTATTTATTTATTTATTTATTTATTTTAAAGATTTATTTATTTATTTGAGAGAGCGAGAATGAGAGAGAGTACATGAGAGAGAGTACATGAGAGGGGGGAGGGTCAGAGGGAGAAGCAGGCTCCTCGCTGAGCAGGGAGCCCAATGCGGGACTCGATCCCGGGACTCCAGGATCATGACCTGAGCCGAAGGCAGTTGCTTAACCAACTGAGCCACCCAGGCGCCCCATTCCTAGTTTTATTAATATTGAAAACCCACAAAACCACAAGAAACAAGACAGTCTGCTTTCTGTTTCTTCCTTTATTGCTTGCCTGATTTTTTGTTTGTTTGTTTGTTTGGTTTGCTTTGGTTGGGGGCGGTGGCACATAGGTAGCAAAAAGGCAGAAAAGAATAATCTGTATTTTTTTTTTTTTTTTACATTTTGCAAGAACAGACATTCATTACCTGCTATTTCTTCCCTCTCCCCACCCTTTCCCCCAATAAAAGCCCAAAGCACCACAGACAAGTAAGCCAACATTGTAAATGTTCAAAGGTGGAATTACATCTTTCAGTGTCCGGGGCGTGTTTTGCATCATAATGCAGTCTTGATGATAACATTTCTCAGGAAAGCCTGCACAGCTGCCTCTGCATCAACAGCCAAGGCGCGGGCATAACTGGCAGTGTATGGGGAAAATATTGCTCGGAATGTACTTCTGGGTGCAATTTACTTTGATACTGTTCTCTGAAGTATCAAAATTGGTTCTTCATCTTTGACAAAGGAAAATGTGCACTCTGAAGCTATAAGAAGCTTCACATGGGGTGACAAATGTATTCCTTTGGGAAGCAAGTATTGTACAGTGGAATGAACAAAGTCTTCGCAGACAGGCAGATCTGGGTTCGAGTCCCATCATGACCACGTTCTAGCCTTGCCACCTTTGACAAATGAATTTTCCTAAGCTATTGTTTCTTTATGCACACGATGGGCTGTTGCAATGATAACATAAGGTGACACGTGTTAAGTGTCGAGTTGGAACTCAGTATGTAGTAGTAATGATTGTTAACGAAACCACTTGGCAGGCAGAAGGGAAAGGAAGAGCTAAACTCTGTGGGGTCTGGGGAAAGGCAGGGACTGGGGAAACCCACATTTGGGTAATAAAGGATATGCCTGCAATTGCATCTTGGGGTGCACAGAATTATTCACATATCTGTCTGTTTTATAGCTCAGTGACTCTGTAGGCTTCATTTTCAGACACAGCAAGGAAAGGCTTATGGCATATATGCCACAATTAGGAGACAGATGGACTTGGGGCATCTGAGTGACTCCGTTGGTTAAGCGTCTGACTCTTGATTTTGGTCCAGGTCTTGATCTCAGGGTCGTGGGATCGAGCCCTGTGTCGGGCTCCGCGCTGAGCATGGAGCTTGCTTGAGATTCTCTCTCTCCCCCTCTCCTTCTGCCCCTCCACCCCAGCTTGTGTGTGCTCTCCGTCTCCCTCCAAAAAAAAAAAAAAAAAAAAAAGAGATAGACCTGCCTAGATGTTGCTGGTTTGGCTCATGACCTGGCAGTTTCCCTGTTTTCTAAGTTTCACCCACATAGAGTTTCAAGTGAAGAACATGTTGCCAGTGTATAACATGGCAGGTTTATAGCATCTGGGACCTCTCCCTCATTCTCCCTTCTCCTTTCTCTTTTAGAAATCATTATCGCCAGAGTGCAGCCGTCATGGGGGGAGCGTCTAAGAAGTGTTTTTATACCCTCACCTTTGTGGTCACTTTCCCGCACAATGAGGATGCCTGCTACCTGGCCTACCACTATCCCTACACCTACACAGCCCTCCTGGTAACGTCCTCTTGACAGCATCACCCTGGCCGGGCTGAAGGGGCTCTTCAGGGTTTCCCTGGAAACATTCAGGAGACCCTGGCTTCCTGGTGGGGAGCTATTATTGCCTTCCTAAGGGAGCCAGGCCTTGCTGTCACCAATTTGGTGGCTTCCTGTGGGTTCCAGCTTCTTCTGCGGGCCAAGCAGAACCCTGGGGTCATGACCAGGGATGTTCTGAAGACCCAAGCGGCAGGCAAGGCTCTGCATCGGCAGGTCGAGTGTAGGAGGAGGTGGGGCCGTGTCGTAGGGGCTCTCTGTGTTTAAGAAGCCCTCAAGTTTAAACATGAAGTCGTGAGATTGGAATGAGATGATCTAGATGAAATGGGGGGGAAAAAAAAGAAAAAAAGATGGTTTCTAAAATAAATAAATAAATAAATAAATGAAGGTAAAAATCATAAGGTCAGCCGAGAGGCAGATTTGAAGCCCATGGCCCCACTGAGAGGAGTGAAGCAGAAGGTAAAGGAGTGGAGAAGCTGGAGAAAACCACCTGAGCCCATGAGCAAGCAGCCACTTCAGCTTTTCTCTGCAGTGGTTCCCATGGCCTTGAGCAGAGGTGCTAGAAGGATCCAGGGTGCATGAGAGGTGTGGAAGAAGTCAACACCGAGTCACTGCAAACGAGGGCCTCAGTCTGGCTATGAGAGGGGTGTGGAGTCAGTCAGTCCAAACCTGAAGTTAGCATTCCTGTGTTCGGTCAGGCCCTGCAAAAGCCTCACTGGACGGATCTGAGCAAACTGCTGAAACCGTGCAGTTTCCTGTCATTTGGAAAAGTTGGCAAACTGTCCCTTTCCCCCCAGCTATTTCATGGCTCTCCCGAGGATTAATGAGCTAGAAGTATCTTCTGTAAAGTACTCTCATCCTCTGTGTTAATGCAAAATATTATTAGCATATTTATAATAATACGTGCTGTATGTGTGAGTGTATCTCTCACTTGGCCTGAAGGATGAGCATTTTCATTGTAAGTCTGTGATAAGGAGTGGGAAAAGATGATAACCAAGAACATCCCTTGCCTTCAAAAGGAATGTCCAGGTATAAATGGAAGTGTTTCTCCATCGAGAAGGCATATCTGAAACCGCTTGGCTGACTGCTTCAGGAAGGTGCATCTGCCCTGCTCCCCATATGTTGTCTTGCCTAAAGAGAGATTTTTTTACTGTTTTCCAGATTGCAAAAGATACACAACTAGTATTATTTGTGTTTCACACTTAGGGATCTCAAGAAGTTAATCCAACAAATATCCATCACGAGCTACGCTGTAACAAGCTATGTTTATTATAAAACATGCTTTTCGCCTCTAGGGATGTAGAGCAGGGAAGATTCATGATCCCCTTCAACAGCTGCTTTTATTGTCTTGCCTGAGAAGCACCGTGTGTACAGAGTTGACTGGGGAAGGGGACTCCTCTTTGCGTGTGTGTTTTGCCTTTTCTGTTGGGGGAAGCATCCAGGGGTCCAGGACCCTGTTCTTTTCCCTTGTTGTAATATCTTAGACACTGACGTGATTCTCAGTGGCAGTTTATATAAAACTTCAGAGCTTGAAGGGGTTTGGGAAATTGTTTGATGCACCCTTGTCATTTACAGATGCAAACATTGAGGCCTAGACACCTCGCATCTAGCTAGTGGCCAAGCAGGGAGGAGCACCAGCCTGGGATCAATCGATATTCCTGTTCCCTTTCTGCTTTTCTGTAGAAAAAGTGTAGAAGAAATTCAGAAGAAGTTCTGCTCTGGGATCAGATTGGTATCCTTGCCTGCTCTGATGGACAGTAGCTACTATAACGGTAGTCTACTTTTGTAGGTACATGTAGTATCAAGTTATGTGATTGTATAATGTCAGATGGTTGGGTTCAAGTCATCAACCCATGGTTTTTATCTGTAACACTGAGTGCCATGGATGTGGTTCAGCAGGATCATGTTGTTCCTCAAACACAGTCCCATTCGTACCCCAGGATGCTCTGATGGGTTCTTGTGAGGTGCCTGCAAGCTGTTTCAAAGTCTAGAACTTACAGTAAGAAGCCAGATGCGGTTAAGCTCTGGCTGAAAAAGTTTCAGACTTTGAATCAACTTGCAGGCACCTTGCAAAAACCCATCAGACCATCTTGGGGTACGAATGGGACCGTGTTTGGCTCCCTCTCTGTTTTTATCTTATTTTCTTTTTCCTTTCCTTCCCCTATGCTCATCTTTTTTTTTCTTAAATTCTACATGTGAGTGAAATCATAT